AGAGAGTAACAACTACTCGACGTTTGGAGCATAACTTGAAGATCTACAACGTGTTTTGTACGGTAAGATCTTTGCTTTTGCTAGAACACTTGGACTGAGCAAGATAAATTTTGATACGGTTCTATTGGACAATAATGGTTGTTCTTGGTTGCGATGCAAGAATTGGTTGATTCAACTATATGATATAAGACAAAATGTAGTGAACAAAATAAGGCACAATGAGATAAACTGTATTTTGTATATTACAAATAATCTAACACAAACAGTTATTCATTGTTAGGTAACTTTTGTTGTGGATCCTAAACCTAATAATGAAGGAGGATGGCCTTCTTCCTGGGATGGTCGATTCCCAGGATTTCCACATTTACTCTATTGTAACGACCAAGATTCTTTTCCACGTATTTCCCAATGGGTTTTGTGGATAACATCAAGACGTCCTATAGACATCAAGCTGTTCAGTTATTGAAGACAAGGATGAACCTTAACACCAGGTTAGCCAAGCTACATAATAGAAAACATTTCTTACTCAAGTGTCGACGACATGGATTAATACCGACACACGTCAAGAACGGCATGAAAAGCGTTAATTCTTTGATGTTTGGCGCCAGAGGTGTAATCACTGGAAGGATTCGTGAATTTAATGATGGTTTGGCGGTAAAAGTACTTAATTTTGAAATCGATATTACCTTTTATGATTTAAAAAAGATTAAGGCTAGTATTAAGCAAATAGAACATAGGCTTGTAGATAGTTTACTATCTACAAGTTACTATCGTTAGACCTGTTAAACGATTTCGATCAAAGATTAAACTTCTCATACACGAAGATTTTTAACAATACAAAGAAATTAAATATAAAGAAGTTTAAGAAACTGCAAGAGGGGTTTAACTTCAACAAATTATGTAAAAATAATGACAGGTGGTTTATTAATAGAAATAATGTTGAGGTTCCCGAAATTGTAAAGAATTTTTTGTCCCCTAAATGCGAATAAAATGTAAAGAGGGCACGTTGCACCAATGTTATCACTAATTTTTTACAAGGAAGATCACAGCTAGAACGCTTTCAGTCTTTAATAAAAAAGGCATTTTTATCAACTAAAGCATTTTTGAGGAAGGATAGAGATGACCCACTCCTCATCTTAAAGGCTGATAAGGGTTAAATTACTGTTTGTATGAATGAATCACACATACATACAAAAATCTATTAGTTATTTGGCGATCAGTCCACATATACAATTTTAAGTAAGGATCCTACCTCTACCATACAGAATAGAAACAATAAATTCTCTAAGTTACAGCTAGAAAGGAAGTACATTGACAAAACACTTATATGAGATTGATTTGTCATAATGGTGTAGCACCCAGATACTACGGACTTCCGAAAATTCACAAACATTCACATACATATCAAACATACATATCAACTGTCTAAATTCTTAGCTGAAATTTTGAGTCAGGCCTTCAGTGAAAGAACCACCTATAACATCAAGGACACGTTTACATTTATTGATAAAATAAAGGATTTTAAGTTACCACGTAGTTATGTATTGATTTCACTTGACGTGGTTTCATTACTCACTAACATTCCCTTAGAGTTGGTAAAAAAACTTATCACTACTAAGTGGGACTTTTTGGAAATGACAACATCTATTGACAAAGAGCTGTTCGTCGAATTGATAGTGTTTTTGTTTGAATCATGTCATTTTATTTTTGATAAAAAGAATTACAGCCAGAAATTTGGTACTCCAATGGGGAGTCCTCTCAGCTCTATTTTACCTAGTATGGTTATGGATCATCTTTTGGATGAGTGCGTTCCTTTACTCAACTTTACTTTTCCCTTCATCTTTAAGTATGTAGATGATATTATCTGTGCGGTTTCCTCAGACCAGATTGACAGTGTTCTTGACGTATTTAATGGTTTTGATCGACATTTACAGTTTACTGTTGAGACCGAGGTTAACTCATATATAACTTTTCTGGACACGAAGGTTATTAGAAATGATGACCAGACTATTCATCATCATTCATGGATTTAGTAGCCGCTGTTGTGTAAAACGACTGCAGAAAAATGTAACGAACGACGAGATCTAGCAGCTGTTGCATTTGATTACATGCAGAATCTACAACTGCCACAGATCCCTGTACAAGATCTCTTTTATCTATCTCAATTAAGTATAAGTGTGTTCTGCATTCACGATTTGAAGACACACAAATCATTTTTTTATATTTACCATAAGGGTGTAGCTGCAAAAGACCCTAATGAAGTCACTACATTCATACTGAAGTATGTATAGGTATAGAAAAGTATGTTTCTTTTTATGTAAAAGAACTCCGATTGTTTTCTGATAATTGTTCAGGGCAAAACAAGAGCATGCGTGGTCTTAACTGAAAGTGGAAGGTTTCAGAAGGTGCAGCAGTATTACTCTTTGTGCCAAAGATTTTGGAGTGATTAAGAGAACGAAGAAGAAGCTTACGGAAAGTTGACGGAGTTTACGATGTCCATACATTTGATGGATACCAAAAACGCTTTTACCGTAAAGAAAGTTGCAACAGAGATATCATAGATTATAAAAACTGGTGTTCAAAACACTACAGTCTACATGGTGCTTTTGATGAAACTGAAAAACATTCTAGAAATTAAAGAATTCCATTTTCAGTGTCAAAATTTCACCACTTTGTTCATGAAGCAACAAATCCTGGCGTTGTTAAGGTCGGTGAATATATTAATGGATTCATTTGAAACACCTTTAAGCTGACTCACCCTAGAAGAGAGCAAAGAATATCCAGATACAATTGCCAAAACAAAAAGCTTGCAATGATAACTTACCAATTTTAGAAACAAAGCTTAAAAATATGAAAACTAGAAATTCTTGAAAATACCAATGTCAAGGAGCCCAAACAGATCAAAACTAAGTAACTGTGTGTTATGTTAATGTAAACTTTTGTTCTTTCGTGAGAAATAAAATTTTAAATTCATTAAGTACAGTTTAGTGTGCACCTAAAGTACAAACCTGGGTTTTTAAAGTATTAAAATTTTCTAAAAAGTAACAGTTTTCATATGAAATGTTTTTTTTTTCGTTTCCTGAAACGTTATAAAAAGTGACTTGAATTGTTTCAGTAATAAGCTATTCAGTAAAAAAAGATAGGCAGAAAGAACTGCTTTTCAAGCGATAGTAAGGTACATTGGCAAGATAACTGTGGTTAAAATATTAATACCCATTTGTTACTTGTAACTAACAAAAATAAAATTTACCGCAGAATTTACTATTTTCTTAGCCACAAATTTGTTCATTACAAATATCTTTTGAAACGAAAGCTATGTGAATTTCTATGTGTGTTTAGCCCCACTACCTATTGTTAAGACATTTTCCTGCGTTTCGTACTCTCTTCAAAACGATCTTAATAGGGTTTCCATTTTTCTTAACATTGGTTGAAGTATAATGTAATTAAACTAAAACTAACACTAGCACTATCTCTAGAACTAACGCTAGACCTAGAAACATTTGGGTTAAGCAGTGCGTCTTTTGAAAAAGCGTTTGACGTTTCGGATGCCATGTTGCAACTATCTTCAGAAACAAGCTCGAAGTGACGAAATCGATTAAAGTTTGACAATAAATAAATGAAAACATAATTAATAACTAATTAGTTTCGTTGAGTTAACTAGCATCTATTCATGTTATTCCCATGTCGATGCATCTCTATAGTCTTGTCATTTTTTGGAAATAATGTCCGGTTCTTGCTAGTACTTTGGTTTTGTCAAACTCTATGGTGTGTCCTCCTTTGTGGCAATGCTCTCCGATCATAGATTGTTGGATTTTCGAAAATTTCTAGTTCTAGGTCTAGTGTTAGTTCTAGAGATAGTGCTAGTGTTAGTTTTAGTTAAATTAAATTACACTTCAACCAATGTTAGGATGTTAGGATTTCACGGCAGGTGTTATAGATAACACCTGCCGTGAAATCCTTCGTACTTATGTAATTTAATTCTTCTGCAATTACAACTTAGTAGGTAATTAGATACAAAATAGAGTAGATTAACAAAATAGAGTAATTCTTCTTCTGCAGGATGAGTAACATTGTCAATAAGCTGATCTTATAACCCAAAATTCCATCTTAAGTTCGTATCTATGGTTCACACCTTTCCGAATGAATCTATTAATTTCGGGTTTTCAACAATTTCGTTAAGGATTATTAATAGATCTTTATTTCTATAGAACACTTCAGAATTCACTACTACTTCTTTCTTTGTATTTTTTTTTAGTAGTGACTAAAATTTACCATGGTATTTACCATGCCTTGGTTTTTTTTAATAATCATCCTCCAATAATTTCCTAATGCAAAGTTTCAAATGGCTTGTAAATTTTCTTATAGTCACTTCGAAGCCAAATACACGGCCAAATATTTTCTGCAAGCAAATACTAATGGGTCCTCACACTGTATGTTAGCAGAAATATTTTTTAGCACTTTACTTAACCAAAATATCAGCATAAGTAGAATATAACAATTTTTATTTTGTGTTTAGTCCATACACAAAAATGTGAATCTTTTGTAATAGTAGCCAATTTGCGTAAATTCTGAACTTGCAGGAAATCGAAACAGTATGTTATGGAATTTGGTTCGCATTGATTCATCAACACTTTAAATTGTTTAGCTTTAAGTTTATCAACTTTTAGGTCTAGTAGAAGATCAGTCGTTAGTGGACTGAGAATAAAATTAAAGTTTGTAGAAAGAACTATGTGCAAGTACCCATCTTTCTTTGTTGTGTTATTGTTATTTTTGTTGTTTAATAGTTGTTGCCACCTTCTTTATTCCTGTTCTTCGTAATAATTCCTCATTAGTTAGTTTGGGTGGCCAAAATATTCGGAGTATTTGTTAGATAAAAAATTATCATAATAATAAAATTATAATTAAAAATTTTGTATATAAAACTTTATGGAATTTTGTTGAAAATTTGCAGTTTTATATCATTTTTTATATAATATAAAAATAAAAATAAGACACATTTTTGTTTGGTTTTTGTTATTTTATTGCTTAAGACTTAAGAGAAATTAAAATGTTCCTGGTGCTGGGGCGGTATTGATATGTTGGCTGGAAGCGAATGGACCTTCTGGTAATGGAGCAACGTGTAAAGATCCACGAGTAGCAGCAACGTATCTAGAAATATCATCTTGTTAAAACCCTCTATATTAAAATTCCTCTGTAAACTTACCCAGATGAAGCAACAGAAACAGCAGGTGCTACAACTGGAGCCACATTATAGGCATATGGGTAACTATATGGTGTTGAATAAGCTAATGGAGCAGCATAATGAGTGCTATAAGCCAAAGGAGCTAATCCTGCAGAGGCTACGGCCAATACGGCAAGCAAGGCAATGATTACACACTGAAATCATATTTTTCATGATTTATTTAAATTAAATTAAAAATTTTAATTTTCTTACCTTCATGGTTTAAGTTGGATTGTTTTATATTTGCAAGTTGAGACAACTCTGATAAAATGATCAGTTTAGAACGTTTATATACTCCGATAGGACAAAGATCGATCACTTAAAAAAAATTGGAAAAAAATATGTTTACCTTGACAATAAATGTGGGTCTTTGTTTTTAGGTTGGGAGCGGTCCAAAATCACTTAAATATTCAAAAAAATATCTAAACTATTTAGATATAATATTTCTATTTACAATTAATATTCAAATCTTAACCCTTAATCGCTAATGTAATCTTAATATCACCAATAAGTGAGACTTTGTTCTTCAGTATAGTATTTTCGATTTATTTGATCTTTAAGGTCAAAATGTATAATAACAAGCAACTGTGTACCATACGACGACACGGTGTAAAGACGCAGAAAACAAAGACTCTTTAATATCATCACCGAATAACATGGTCTATCGACCAAAAAACAGAATCAGTTGATGTCGATGATTTTGTAAAGAATGCTGTATGTCGAAAAGTATATTATTACCATCAGAAATGTAGTAAAGGTTTATCATACATTTATTTTTAATAATGTGCCTGTTACGAGCACCCTTCTTAAAGATTACGTGACGATGGGATGTTTAAGTTTTCTCCAATGAGTCTGTAACGGCTACCATCAACCATAGGATTTACTTACCACGAAATGATCAACGAAAAGGTTTGCTGGTACAGCCTCGTGATATGAGGCTCATTAAAAGCAATATTTTTGTGAAAACATCTCGAAAATATGGAGGAAAGACAGTTTATCTTGACGAAACTTAAATTTTTTTAAGATCTCCACTGAAAAGCTGGCATGATGCAATCTAAAGTTTGTTAAAAAAATCATTGCTGAAAGAAGAAGGTAAGCCTAGAAAAAAAGAGTTTTAATTGTAATTTGTATAATTTATAAAGGGCGCAGATTTGTTATTTTCTTCAACGTCAAAATCAGCAGATTACCACGATTACCACTAATGAACTAAATTAGATACGCCAAGTTTAATAATTGTGGACAATGAATCTTATCACGCAAGGTTAACGAAAAAAGCCTAGCTTAGTATGGCTAAGCGTTGAATATTTATAAAAATAAAATATTACTTACCTTACAAACATGATAAAAACCGAATTATATACACTCGCCAAAAATCATCTAACAAAAAAGTTTATGAACTTTGTGATCACAAAGTAAGTCGATTACGTCCATCTCCTTTTCAATTCAATCCCAGATCGGGTCTGACTGTGAGTGAATAATAAATCACATTGTAATAAACTTATTGGCATAGATGTATAGAGTGAAGAAAAGATCTTCTTATTGTAAGCTGAGGCCCTTTGTTATAATTATTATATGTATTTCTCGTTTCTATCAAGTTACACACATGAAATTATTTTCAAAAGGCAGGAAGTTCAGAAATTCTATTTATAAAGTAAAGATCGCTCTAGATTCTTCAAACTTAGAAATTTACCCAAGGATTTCAACTGAAGTAACCATAATTCAAGGTTAACTCTTTTACTACAAATTTGAAGACCTCAGAGACTGACAAAGAAATGCACAGATCTATAAGCTTCATGACTTTCATCTTCAGTATTCAGGGAGTAACACAACCTTAGTGGTTTATTGCTAATTATATAAATTTTAAATAGGTAGTTAATTCACATGTACGGAAAGGTAAAGAAGTCTTTGCACGCGTGATAATGTTACGAGTGTAACTTCACAATATTTGATTATTTATTGATATCAGTAGTTTTGAACTCTTTTCAGTTTATTGCCATAATCTTTTTTTCTTCAGAAAAAATTATCTTTTTCATACTTGCTTTTTTGGTTATTCTGGTGTAAATATGTCATACAAAAATTTTTATAAACAGAATATTTCTTTTTAATCGTTCGTCGTATTCAAGATAACTTAAAACTTTGTATTGTAATAAACAACGCTTTGGATGATTCAATTTATCATTATTGTTATTTTATTTATAGCCGAATCTCATGGAAATTCTTTTAGACATAAATCATTAGAAGTGATACATAACTCTTGAAAACCAAGTCTACTTTGTACGGAGAAGATTCGTTTACGACATTATTCTTGTTTCCTTTTGTAAAATGTGAATTAACAAAGCGTTTTAAGTATTAAAATAATATATCTGTGTATACTTTTTTAACAACATTACCTTAAATATTTTAGATAAATTCAATAATAAAACAACTTTCTTTTGGTTTTTGCGATTTTATTAATTAAGATTTAAAACAAATTAGAATGTTCCTGGAGCTGGGGCAGTGTTGATATGTTGGCTGGAAGCAAATGGACCCTCTGGCAATGGAGCAACGTGTAAAGATCCACGAGTAGCAGCAACGTATCTAGAAATATCATCTTGTTACAACCCTCTATATTAAAATTTCTCGGTAAACTTACCCAGATGGAGCAACAGCTACAGCAGGAGCTACAACTGGAGCTATATTATAGGCATATGGGTAAGCATATGGAGTTGAATAAGCTAATGGAGCAGCATAGTGAGTACTATAAGCCAATGGGGCTAATCCTGCAGAGGCTACGGCCAAAACGGCAACCAAGGCAATGATTACACACTGAAAGAAAAAAATTATTTAAACAGAAATTCATTAATTTAATTTAATGCTATGAACTAAAAAAGATCTTACCTTCATTGTTTTAAATTGGGTTGTTTTGAATATACAAGTTGAGACAACTCTGATAAAATGGATTGTTGAGATGGTTTATATACTCAGATAGGACAAAGATCGATACATTAAAAAAATAATAAAAAAGATATGTTTACCTTGACAATAACCATGTGGGTCTTGTTTTTAGACTGGGCGCGGTCAACGTGTTTTCATTTCGATACCTTTTCCTTGTTAATAAAATAACAAAATTAATGAGATTAAATCAAAATTAAAAAAATCAGGAAGTTTTGTGTGATATTAATTTTCACAACTCTAGACGAATATTAGATGAATTTTATTTTTATGATTTTATTTTTACTTCTATGGTATTGATAATTTTAAATTATTTAAAAATTGAATTCATAAAAGGCACTGAACTTGAACAAGACTACTTTTGAGATCTTGTAGCACTTTTAAAAATATCTTATTTAACTTCTGGTGCAATAAATTGAAGTGAATTTAAATTTTAAATAAAGATTTCAAATAGTTTTTACTGTTAGTCAATAAATAGGTATATATTTTTTTATCTTTTATTGTTTTTACTGATTGAAAAGCTTCTATGACAAGGGTTAAATGTACGTATTGATATATATTTTATCCGCAAAAATATTTCTGGTTGCTAGCTCTAATGAAGTCTGAGATATTCACTCACGTATTCTAAATATGTAGGCTTTTTCATTTTCCCATTCGCTTTTTGAGTGACATTTATAGTCTGTTCTTTTAATATTTTCATAGATATGATAAAGATTTTCTGGTTTCCTAACTACATTATTTAGCTAAGGACTCATTGATATTTTAAGTTCTGAATCATCATGTTTTCAGGCAAATGAAGATTTTCATTGACTTACTTAGCAGCCATGGGAGAGCCGTTATCGCCAACATCTATATAGAGTTGTTTGAAGTAGTGGATTTATAAACCTGCACTTAGAAACCAAACTGATGGGTACGATACGTGGATGATATTTAATCATTTAGAAACACGGCATATAATTTATTCAGGATATCCTAAGTCATTTAAAATCCATCCAATGATAAAATTCAATGGAGGGAGAAAAGGACAATCAGGTCCTTTTCCGATCATCCCTCGATGTATCAGTATCCAGGACCGACAATGGACAGCGAAGAAAGTAGGGTAAGTAATTAACCTGTGTGCTTCATCTGTTTTCCTTTTGTTTAAGATATACTAGGCGACTTAAAAAAGACGCCATCGAGGTGAGACATGGGTTAGTCAGCCATGGAACGCATTGCCAATAGCAAAGGACTGTCTTTCTCCGTTAAATGGGCCAGGAGTAAACAGGCTCTTGCACAAGTGTGGGAAATACTCTGTAAACTGGATGGAACTTTAATTGTCGTATTAAGAAGCCTGGCCTCAACAAAATACAGTATGTCGACCACGGTTGGACCATTTGCGATGTTTTGACAATTATGTCCATACTTCTTGGTCAACAAGGAACATGCATAAAGGAATACGAAAGGGACATCGTATTAGGAAAACCAGAGCAGTCAGCAATCGCAAAACATTGCCACACAGCACGATACCATAACATAGATTTAGATAAGACGAAACTACTTGCAAGGAGCAGCCACAAATACCCGAGGTTGACTAGAGAGGCCATAGGATTTTGCTGGACTTGATGAAGAATTCCCCACTCCACGCCAAACGCGCCATTTAGCGAATAGTAATTAGTTAAATAATTAGTTACTAGAAACATATATAGAGTCAAAACATATTTCAGCCGACGCACGACATAACCTGGAAATTTCTAGTTTTATTTCGCTATCAGTTGTATAATAGACATAATAATAAACAAACCTGTTTTAGTTTAATCTATAAATGCCCAAAGCTTTGGGGCTAAAAGCACATCAAATGACTTTAAGAAGATAGTTCAAAAAATTGTAGTAGCCATCCGAAACGTGAAACAGTGTTTTAATAGACGCACGGTATAACCCGGATTTTCTATTCTTAGTTTTATTTCTTACTTTAAGTGTTTTTTAATATACATAAATATCGTTTTTTACGCATTTTCTTTTGTATTTTGCAAGGAAACAAATTCTACAGAGATAGAGGTATACTCTTGGTCTGCTGTATTTAACAGGTTCACAACATGAAAGATGATACTGTCCAGTATTATAGCGAGGATGAACTCTCTTGTGCATCGTTTTCTCATAACTGAGAAGTCGTGATTCCATGCTCATAGCATTCGTTTCCTTTATTCCTCCGTAACTGGCGGTCTAGTTGGGTGTAGTGCCTTTTGAGGTGGGCTTTGAAGCGAGTTGGTGTTATCTCCTTTATCTGGCCCAACCACGTAGTTCACGATCTTTCTTCTGCCTTCTACTTTTCCTTCGACTATTAATTTTTCGAGGTTATCGCCATTTCTGCTGATTATACGCCCAAAATATTATGGAATTCATCGCCGGCAAATAGAGAATAGTCTGTCTTTGATCTCGAGCTCTTTCAGTATAGATATGTTAGTACGTCTGTCTGTCCACGGAATACGCAGTGTTAGAACAAAATGTTGAAATACTGTCTCACTTTTATTTAGGTTTGAAACACTGTTGTTATTGTAGTCACTCGTCAATGGCTGGCGCTTTAGTGTTCTTCATGTCATTATTTAGTTCGCCGATTCATAAAGTCATCCCTTGCGTAGTATCTTTTCTCTTTAGTCCTTAGTTGTCATGTCATTAGTTTTCAAGGTCATTTCAGTTCTAATTGTGTATATCTACAGTGATAGTTCTTTACAATAAACTTTACTTTACGGCCTTTCTTGCATTTAAATGACAACCCCAATAGGTTATGAGCCCAGGACAACGCGACGGAACTAAAGTGTTGTGATGTGATAGTGTTGTGAGTTCGACGAGTCTACGAACAGTGGTGACGTGTAGAAGTATTAGTGAAGTGCTATTCCTTCCTGGATATCATCAGTGTTACTTCCTGGATAACAGTGGCGCTTCTTGGATATTTGGTGTTAGTGGACTGAACGGAGACAGCTGTGTGTAGTGTTGTCTGGGTGATTCAATAAGTGGTGGTCATTTCGCGAAGCTTGTGTAACCAAGCAGAAACCATCTCTCTAGTGACTCAATCGTACAACATAATATCAAAGATGGAGAATATCACCAGGGAAATCAGAGAAAGCAGAGACAACATAGGTGAAACAGCTGTCATAACAAAAATTCTAAGCACACTACCAAGTAAATACAGAACTTTTAGACAAGCTTGGTTGTCTGCAGATGAAGCAAAACAAACTCTTTGAAATTTATCATCAAGGTTGATTGATGAAGAAGCCAGTCTTAACGCAACAGAAACTACACAACACACCTTAGCTGCAGCCTCTAATAAGAAACTAGAAAAGAAGTTTGACAAAAAGAAAATTACTTGTTACAATTGTAAAGAACAAGGCCGTTTTGCCAAACATTGCAAAAACAAAGTAGTAAAGCAAGCAATTCCAAAAACTTTGGAGCTTTCAGTTCAGTTAGGAGCTTTCAGATATGAATTCTAGACAGTGGTACATCCGCACGCATGACTTTCAATAATAGTTGGTTTTCGTCCTACGAAGAACAGGATAATTTAAGTATAAAACTTGGTAATGGAGAACAGTTTGATGGTAAAAGCGATTGGAAGAGTGAACATAGAGTGCTTAATTGGATCAACCTGGAGGAGATGTGTAATGAACGATATTCCGGAGTTGAAGAAAAATCTTTTCTCAGAAGGAGCAGTCACCAGAAGAGGAATAAAAGTAATCAAAGAAGGAAATGAGGCTAAAGTAATTGAAAACGGTGCAGTAAAAGACATTGCGAACAGAATTATTACAAACGGACAGGTTCAAGATTTCTTATAGAAAAAGGGAATGGAGGTTGACACATGTTGACGCCTTATGGTCTTGAACAAAATGGTAAAGCGGAGAGAGAACATAGAACAATAGTAGAAAATGCTTCTTCTATGATTTATAAAAAAGATTTGCCGACTTTCCTGTGGGCAGAAGCTGTGAATACAAAACACGAGGTAAATGAGCCAACAGCAGAAGAAAACGTTTTAGAAGTCATAATAGATGAAGATAAAAAGCCTCGAGATGGCTCGAAGAGCCATGACTTCGAGATAAACTTAGTAGAAGGTACTCCACAAAGTTACGATGAAGTGGTCAAACCAGACGATGCTGCAATGTAGAAGAAAGCTATACAGGAAGAGCTAGATGCTTTAGAACTAAATAAAACGTGGGAGATGAGCCCAACCCCGATGAATAAGAAAACGGCGGCTTCAAAATGGGTTTTTAAAGTAAAGCGTTCTCCAGACGGTAAAGTAATAAAAATAGATTGTGTGCAAAAGGATTTTCTCAAAAACAAGGCATCTATTACACCAAATCATTTGCGCCGACAATTCGTTTATTGCATTGGCAATTCAAGAGAACCTTAAAACACAACAATTTGCCGTAAAAACTGCGTTTTTACATGGATTATTAGAAGAGGAAATTTACCTCGAACCGCCTGATGGTTTAAAACTTAGTGACCCAGGACTAAAGTGTAAACTATTAAAGTCTCTGTACGCACTGAAACAATCTCCAAGGTGCTGGTTCAAAAGACAATAAATTTCTTAATGAACTCGGTTTAAAAGAATGTGAAAGTGATACATAAAATAGTAGAAAGTTTACATAGGAAAGATAAACAACGTAAAAGTGTTCTCGCTTATTACGTGGACTATGGACTAACCTTGACGCAGTGTCAAAATGTTCTAGACATAGTGGTAACCGCATTGCAGAACAAATTTAGTGTATCGACGAATAGTTCTTTATAATAAACTTTACTTTACTTCACGGCCTTTGTTGCATTTCAATATTAACCCCAATACGCAGCATTCGACCTAACACCACATCTCGAAAACCTCAATTATTTTTCAATGGCTTCTTTGAGAGTCCAGGATTCTACACTGTATTGGAAGATCTTTAAAATATTCCAAAGAAAATTATTAAGTGTCATTAAATCGGGGAATCTCGGAGGCCACTTACAGAACCATTTGTATCATCTTCCTGGAAACCTGCGGTCCAGATACTGAATCACAATATCACTAATTAGCAGTAATGATTAATCTAGGACATATAAAAATTATTGAGCACAAGTAATGCTTGGCACATTGTATAAATTTAGCATTTGCAGCCGTTTTATAAGCCTACTCAAAGTTTAAGAAAACAAGATATTGATGAAGAATATGACGACGACACTTTTTTTTATATCTATGTCAAAGTTTGCTCTTTGACACAGATATTTCAGTAGCTGTAAAAGGGAACAACAGATGACAAAGATATATTTTCTCAACGTTTGTCTAAAACTGCATTTCTTTGATTTGATCAATTCGATGACCATCCATCACTTATTGCAAACCAGTAAAAAAAAAAATTCGATCATATCGTATTGTGATTTTAAATGTGATCTTTAAATATAAAAAATGCAGTGGTTTCAGTTAATTTTGTACACAGATTTAAATTATTTAATTTTTTATTAAATACAATAATATACAATAACAAAGCTTAACATCTTCTTAAACCAAAACCAACTTGACACGTAATAGTTTTAGGAAATCCTATCGGTGGAATTTCATCAATTTTGCTTATTTTTAGTCTACTACTTGGTGGTGGGACATCTTCAGGCTTTATTTCATCATCCACTTTATCTGCACCTTTTCCTTTTTTATCTGGTTTTTCCTTTTTCGGCTCTTTTTCTTTACCTTTCCCACCTTTTGCTTGATAATTTAATGCTTTTAAAGACCCTTCAACCGGGATTGCAACTGGATCAACATGAGGATGGTTGGTCCAATAAAAATCAACGGAATCATCACTCCAATTGACCGGATGGAGGTCGCAAAAGAAATTACCGATCGTAATCCGTTTTAAAACTGTTTCTGTGGGTTCTTTTTTAATGATTGGAGTTTCTATAACTTTTTCACTTGGGTTGTCATCTTTACCTTTCTTATCTTTTTTATTTTTCTTATCTTTTTTACCTTTCTTCTCTTTTTTAGGTTTTTGTGGTGGTTGAATTTGTTGGTAAATAATTTTAATGTTAATCTTACTTCGGAAACAATCTCTAATTGCTTTTAAATCATCTTCTGGTGATTCTATTGTTAATTCCGGAAATTCAATCATTTTATTGTATGTTTGTCTTTCAGTTTTGAAATTTGGGTTATTCTTTATTTCCTTTTCATTCGGTGCATCATAAACACTGGGTTCTTTTCCCTTTTTTCCTTTTTTTTCTTTTTTCTTTTTCTCACCTTTTTTCGATTTTTTATCTGTTGGTTCTCCTTCATCTATTTCTTCAACATTATCGGGAATATTTAGTTCTTCGAGTAAAGGAAGATTTATTTCGATATGAAAAAAATGTTGGATTCCTTTCTAATAAAATAACGAAAAAATTAATCTAAAGTGCTTAATTGTCATTTAGAGAATTAAAAATGTTGATTACTTGTTTTGGAGGTGGTGGTAAACTAATTATTCTAAAACAGTTAAAAATTAACGCTGGTTTATTACTATCGAGATTCATAAATTCGAATCCACCTCCAACATCGTCAGTTGCTTTATCTGTTTCTAAAATTTCTGTATTATCCAAAAATAACAATGACTGTAATTTTTTTAAAATCAATTGTTTATAATTGGGAAGCGCCTAAAAATTATTCGATTTAAAAAATTACTCTAATAAGCTATTAATAAGCAGATATCTTTCTTTAAAAAGCTGTAACTGTAAACTCACCCAACATGGATTGCCCTCTAATGACAAACCTTTTAAGTTATTGAGGTCGATTAAACTTCTCACCACACCTCTTAAATCATAGATGTCGTTGTTCGAGAAATCTATACATCTTAAATTATTAAAGTTTTTGCTTCGAAATACGTGATGGAAACCAGAATCTAAAATAAAGATTTGTTTTATTTAATACATAAAGCAGAAAATGTAGAAGTAATAAAAAGACAAAGAAATGTTGAGGGTGATCTTGCAATTATTACTCGTGGTATAACAACTGTCTTCGGGACAGATATGATAAATGGCACACTACGGACGGTGTCATTTCGCGCGGTTTTCTCCCGCCGGGTCCGTGATGTATATAATTGGCTTGTCATCTAATGATTCCTGATTTATGGTCGGCGTTAATCAAGAGTTGCGACGGCCGCCGGCCACACCAACGACACCTGCTCGGCCATCGCCCATGTTACGCTCTATGGAGATGGAGAGAAAAGACTACCAAAGAGTTCAACTCTCCTCATCAGACTACATTTTTTTTATGTTTTGCTTTGCGTTCCTATTTCTACACTTCGACTACTTCGACACGGCCTAACGGTCAAATGGGCATTTCACAATTTCCGGAAGAGAGAGAGTGAGAGATCGCGCTGACAAAGCAATATGATCATCATCTATCTGATTCGAATACTAGATAGATAATTAAATTGGAACCAATTCAATTCACTTGGACGAAATCGAATTTGTAATTGGATGGTTACTATTAAATAAATTTATGATAAAAAAAGGAAAATAGTTTTCAAAAAAATGAATTGAAATTTACTTATTGTTTTTTATTAAATCAAAACCAATAAAAAAACTATTTAGAAATAAATATTTATTCCCATAACTGCAAATAGATACAGAAAGGAACCGAACCAAAACTTCTAGAAATAAATAAATACACACAAATTATCACAATAAAGTCCCAAGTTAAATATTCCATACGAAATACTAATACAAAAAAACACTGATTGAAAACATACAGATTTGAGGAAACAAATTAAAATAAGACATAAATCTTGATGAAGGAATTTGAAGATACCGGAGTAGGCTTTAGAGGAGACCAAAATGTAGAGCAAGACTGGTAAGTATGGGAAAGAACCATATTTTAATATTTAGCAGAGTAAAACAAGAACAGAGGGCATCCGCTATGTGATATAAATATGAATACAACATAAATGACTGGAAGGTATGTCCAGAAAGAATAATAACAGTAGTAATGAGACAGCGAAAGCATGAGAAAACTACAATAACGGTATATGGACCAAATGCTGGATGATAAGGCAGAAAACAAAAATGAGTTTTAGTAAGATTTGATGGAAGCTGTGGAGAAAGTGAAATATACATTTTGAAAGATTTTAACAGTAGGGTAGAGAAGAGATATAAAGGGGTGGTGGGAATTCATGAAGTGGATGTGAGAAACAATTAATACATATTTAGAAAGTAAAAATATACACAGACACAGTTGAGATATGGTACGGAGAGGGAAAAATCCATTAATCATATTAGATATATGAGCTCCGCCGCTGACTGCGTGGATTAAGTAGGTCAGAAACCATCGTTGCCGGTCCCAAGCCTGGACAAAGCAGGAGCGTTAGACAATGGGTTAACTACCCATTTCCGTAAAAAAGGACCCAGTTCCGACCTTAACATTGATAAACGTACACTTCCTCACAAAAAAACAGGAGGAAAAGACGCAGGAACAATTGTATCAGTTATTGGAGGAAATATATGATAAATCACCAAAAAATGATATCGAAATTATCATGGATTGTATGAACGCCAAAATAGGTGAAAAGAACAGTTCAGAGAAACAATAGGAGGGTACTTGTTGCATGCTAAAACTATTGGGAACGGAAAATGCCTAATTAACTTTGTCACTAGTAAAAACATAGGAGTAAACTCTACGTGTTTCTCACACCAGAGTATCTATAAAGCCATATTGACATCACTACCTAGTTCGAAGAAGGTATAAATAGTATAAGAACTACATGGCAAGAAAAATAAGAGAAAGAAAATGTAAATTCGAGACAGTCAAAAAAAGCAGATAAAATGTGCAGAAAGAAGAAAAAGAAATATGGGAACGACCTCATTGCAAAAAATGGTAGAGGAGTTCAAAAATATTGACTCACAAGGTGCATATAGATTCTTGAAATACAGCAAAGAGGGATACAAATCTAGAGCTAATATCTATAGAGGCGAAAGGGGACAAATTGAAAGTAACATTCAAAAGATAAAAGACATCTGAAAACTATTTTTCCAAACATTACTTGTAACATAAGTTGAAATCAGACAAGATATAAATCAGAGCTGTGAGGAGAAAGAAGGGATAGACCCTTCTAACACTAGAAGAAGTCGAACAAATCAAGGCTCTAAAGAATTAAAAAATGTCAACACCTAACAAAATCTATCCTTGCACTGATAAGGAAAGTATAGGAATAATCCACAAGTACTGAAAAAAAAGCGTTACATCTCTTCTGTGCACAAGGTACAAAAGATCATAGTAAGGCATGTAGACATCGGAAAGGAAAGCCTGTTAACAACAAGATCCAACAACTGGTTGTCTGTGAGATGACATTTATATCATGAGCCGTAGGAGGGATATGGCAAAACAAGCAAACTCATAATTAAAACTACATGACAAATGTGTGTTTTGTTTGTAGCGGACTGTAGATTTATAGGAGTAAAACAAAAACACCAACACAAAATCCATCATATTAGAAGACAATCTGGAGACAGTGGATTCCCTTCATATACGTAGGAGTGGAACTGAATTCAGCTGGCACCGAAGAAGGAGAAATCCGCAGAAGAATAATCACAGCAAACAAAGCCTATTTTTCCTTATGTTTCACGTGTAAAATGCAAAAACGTATACCGCAATAACACGTCGTGAGGGTACAAAATAGTAATAAGATCTATTGCAAGATACTCAACATTTTTCAGACAGCGGCGGTTATAGGAGCGAAACTTGTGCTGAGAATGGAGGGAAAAAGTTTATCAAAGAAGATCTTGGATATATCCAAGAAGTTAGGGAATCCTGAGTTTGAAAAACAAACATGATTAACAGAAAAATTCGAAAGGATGAAAGCGATATAAGTTGATGAAACTGTGGCTGGTATGGGGAAGAGATTTTAAAACATTGTAATCGAGACAGATAAAGTAGAATGTGGTATCAATAAGATAAAAGGTGAAAAACAAACATCATGTTGATCAAAAAAAAAATAAAAGTTGTGCCAAAATAAAGAAAGCGGAATGAAAAAAATATTTAACGGCGCGGCGTTGAGTTTGTATCTGTTAAAAAAATGTAGAAATCTAAAACTACTGGTGATGGAACCAGAAAGGAAGGTATGGAAAAATTTCGGCTGTAGGATGGAAAGTGGAATTGAGGATTTGATCAAATCTATAACAAGAGTGATAGTATCATAATTGTGTTTATATGGTCTGTTCAAACGTTTAACTCGTTTGTGTGTTGGTGACACCCATCTTTCTTCGAGTTGTGAATGCTTGAAAGTAAGATGTTAACCAATACTAAATATATACGAAATTTCAAATTCTTCGGTTTACTTATAGCCGACATACAAAATAAAAGGTAAATTTTTGGCTTAACTTTGATCGCTCATAGCTCGAAAACAAAAGAGTTGCAACCGTATGTTATTTTGGCAAGTACTACGTTCTAGTAAAGTTTCTAGATTAAAATCTGAATCATCCTGTACAGACAGAAATGTTTCATAACATAATTGTACTTTTCGTAATTTTTTTCTTTTTTCACCTTTCGATGCGAGAAAGATCGCATATTAAGCGTGCTACTCTATGCTCATGAATCCAACCAGAGAAATGTGCCCAAGTTCTAGAAGTACTTCCTTTCACAAACTTAGTTTCTTTTAAATAAACCTTTTTAGCTTATTGCTGCTTCTTTTCTTCTGGCTCCGTTTGGGCTTCATCTTTCTCCCTATCTGAGATTTTCATAATAACGTAGTAAAAACATTTCAATCGCCAACAGTTATAAAGTTATAACTGTTAACTTTCTCATATGCTTTAATTTCTTCATAATGTGTTTCATTTAGCCACGTATTTTCCGTTTTTTGTAGACTGACGATAAGCATTGTTATCGTTGTTTTCGTCACTTTCACTGAAGTAGCCGTCTATTGTTACCAGTCCTTTTACCAACTTTGGGTTATTTAAGATTAAGTTAAGAACACCCTAATACGTATACTAACGGACTGAACTTTGCGCTACGGACATTCATCGTTTTCCCCCCTAACGCATAGGACTACCATCAAGGATGAATCCTCTTGATTCTTACTTTACAGTGCGTTTTAAGAGGACTGTGATTGTTATTCCCCCTTATTCTATCTAGACATCGGTAGTATAGCTTACAAATCGAGAAATGACACTACTATATTGTTGTACTTTATTCGAACAATCAAATGTGCCTACTAGACTTCAAAATTTGTTTATACTTGTTCTCTAATTTTTATTTTAATTTTTTCTTAAGCATGCTTTCCTGAATGATATTTTTCTTTTTTATATTCTTTTTCATTATTTTTTCAAATTCTCTCAATCCTGTAGCAAAAATTGCGAGGGTATTATAAGATGTTTCTTTATAATAGGTGATACACTTTTATCGTCAATCACAAAATAAGTTAGGGATTTGTTAGTAAGAGATCTCTTGTTTTCGTAACAATTGCAATGCATTCGTGCATAATTTCGAACGTGTGTATATTATTATCCGGTATTTGGTTATGCAATTCTTATAAAATGTGAACATCATCACTTTTTGCTGAATCATCCAGACCTTGGCTATGTTTTACATTTTCAATGATTACTAGTACACACTTTTCAATTCATTTAAATCTTTCAACATTGAGTACTTTATTATTTACCTCACTAACAAAAATACTTGACTTCATACAACCGCTATCAGATTTATCAATGAATAGTATACCTGACGGTTGATCAGGTATACTGTTTACATGTTTCGTTGACCTAATGTATGGGAATATTATAATATTGCTAAAATAGTGAAAAGTGTACACACTTTTATAACAATTATACCACAGTTATTTTCAGCAGCAAGGGATATCATAAATAAACATTGGCTTGAAGAAATAGCATCTCCCATTTTTACCTC